ACAACTCTGTAAAAGCGCAAAGGTCATGCTTAGTTCTGGGGTGGCGCACACAGACCAGGGGCCGGATGTGGCCCGTCGGCTGTTACTCTGTGACTCCCGATCTACGACACAAACGAAAGAGAACACAAATCGCTATTTATGTCTTTAAATTGGAAAGCAACTTTTCCCTAGGTGGTGGGAGACACGACTGTCAGTTCTGCAAAGCAAGGGAGGAGGCTGGAGGCGCGGTCGAGCCAGAAAGCATGGGTATCGCTGTCAGGCTGGGAAGCAGGGCCCAGGGGAACACCCGTGGGGCCTGGAGAGGTCTGTGGTCTCCGGGGAGAAGGCACATCGTCTGCGGTTCTGAGAGGTTTTCCCTGCCTCATGGTATACTGGCCAGCAGTTTGACCTCCATTTTAAAATTTAAAGTTGAAATCTGACACCATCTCCCGAATACCAGTGGCGCTTCACTAGGCCTTACTTCTTCCCACACTCGAAGCTGTTTCCTAGCCAAGCGCTCCTTATGCTCTGCCCTGCGAGGCAGCATTTTGCCTCTGCCACTCCCGTATCAGACTGTCTTTGCTTTTGTAGACTGCCGTATTTGGTTTTATTTTTTTAAAACAAACTTCTCTCTTTTTGCTGTTCCTAAACGACACTGTATTAGGCCATCAGTGAAGATGACCCCCATTTGTCAGTTCTAGCTCCTAAGTGAGTCTTTGACCTCAATCCTTCAGAACAGAAAATCAATGAAGTGAGACTAATCAACCCACGAAGACTGTTGCCACGGTTAAGACGAGTGTGGGAGGGGAGAAGCGGCAGAGGGAAGTGCTGTCTGTTCCCCTCACGGCCCGGGACGGTCACACGGCACAGCCAATTTCAGAGGCTCTAGTCTTGGGGAACAGGATCCTTCGTGGATCACCAAGAGTGACTGGACTGGACACCAGAGAAAAAGCGGAAGGACCGACAATGGTCATCCAGCCTCAGAGGTGAGCTAGCAAAGAACCAGGGACACCCGGCCTGGATTCGCAGTCCAGAAGCCACCCCGAAGCCCCATGTGGAGACGGTGCCTGCAGGCGGAGTGAATGCGCTCACTCCCAGCTCGATCACGCTACTTAGTTACTGAACTGCGCAGCACCAGAAACCAAGAACTAACCTGCCTTACGTGGGTGAACCCTTCTACTTCGGTCACATCCTGTGATATTTTAAATGCCCTGTCCTAAAAATAACCACCTAGTACAATTTTAGCAGTTAGATCACATGATATCGCTGCTCAATGAAGTTTGAAAACTAAAAGAGATTTCCACCCTAAAAGATTTGTGTATTTCAAATCTTAAGGGTCCCAGAATGTATGTCACAAACACGTAACCTTGAAGTGCCCTTGTTACCTCTTTGTTAGCTTTAAATGTGTCTTTCTTGCAGGCTGCAGTGGTCCTCCACTCAAAGTAGTGCACGCAGTCTGCTGTGGCTATAAATTCAGGAGTTCCCTGTCAAAAATAAAATTATAAGTTACCATGCTGTACGCGGTAAAGTTTTCTTTTTTAAAGTTAGAAAGAATAAAGGCTAATGAAAATTTTTTAAAAGTAGCAAAGAGGGGGTGGGGTGGGTGAACGCAACTGTTAGTTCAACAAGGTCATCACGAAGTTCCCAAACCCAACGATTCTGAAACAAAAGCTTCATGAAATCATGCTGGAATTTTAGTATAATCAGGCCAAAACTGTTCTCTTGCCCCAACTATGCAAGTACAGTAAACTCATGGGAAGGAATCCTCAGAGTCCTTCTGTTCTCAAACTCCAAATGTTCTCCTAACCAAATGCCAACAAAATCCAAGCCAGAAAATGTGACCTCATGCTTCCTGTAAGCCAAGGGAGGAGGCCCATCCAAACTCAACTGGTTCGTAAATCAGCCTCGCTTCAGACACCCCCACCCACCCACCACCCACCACCCCTCGAGCCTGAGGGCAGCTCCCCTCCCCACCGCAACCGAGACTGCCTCCAAACTGAATCACGCCATGGCGGGAATTTACCTCTATACTCTCAAATGCAATTCTAAGGAGTTCTTTGCAATTCTGATTCTTTTATGATAAACACAGAATTCTTGAAGGAAATCAGTTAAAATGAAAACAGCAGCTAGCTTATTCAGTAATACGGACTTCCATATTTCACATCACTGCCGACAGATTTTTTTTTTCCCCCAAGGTTTCAACATGAACAATAGTGCAATTGATAGGTTGGTCTAAATTTAATGTAAGTTCTACTTTTAAAGTTCTTCAGAGAAGACATCATGGATCTGAAGATATAATAGTCACGGCAACAAATTCTAAAATCATATTGTAATGCAATCTTGGAGCCACCTGAGTTTCACTGAACCTGATTTTTGTAAGCACTTGGGTTCTCGCTCGGATTAGAGAACATTCACAGGATCTGTGTACAAACTGCTTTTCCTAAAAGCTAGCAATTATTTACCGAAAGCCCCTTTCTAAACAGTAAAGATTAAAGTCAAAAAAATCACACACAATATGCAGAAAGCAGAAACAAATCACGCTTTAAACAATGATGTCCCCTTTCAGCATTAGTAAAACCCAAAAAGGGTGGGAACCCCATTCCCAATGGTCAAGGCTTTTCCTAGATAGATGTTGGCCTCTCCAATTTAATGTAAATGAGGAAATAAAACATTAAAAAACATATTACCCTAAAACCTATCAAAATGAAATGCTGAGAGGAGAGATTTTAGGGAAAAAAAATTATGCCTGCGACGTAAGCATTAAACAGTGCTTTGAGTTTAAACACACTAATCACTCTGAATTGTAGTTTTACACAGGATGCAAATCAAGTTTCACTTAAAAGTTGTAACTACACACTTAGGAATTTTTACTTATTGGTTATTAACGGCAATGTGATTTGCTTGGGGTTTCTGTTTATCTGTTTACGTTTTCAATTTTGCTCACTTATTCTTCCTTAGCACACCGCTATGGCGAAACCTCCGAAGGGGCATAAATTTTTAACAAAAGAAAGATTATAAAGTGACCCTGTGGACTCACCAAGGTCTTCCCACATAGGAAGGTGATGCTACTCTGGACTCGATTTGTTCTTTGCTTCAAATCGCAGTTCACTGTTGTGTTGAACTCCAGAACAGTTCTGGTTGCACTTTTCAAAAGAGAGTCGCCTATTTGGAGAGGAAAGAGCATGAACAAGCTATAAAATGCTCAAAGCTGTACAGCTGTTTCCAAGCATGAGCAAATTAAAAGTGGCACTATAATTCATCTGAAAGGTTATGAACTTACAAACTGTCCCTTCCCCAGAATCCTCCATCTCACGAATGGCATCCCCACACACCCAGCTGTTCAAGCCCCAAACACCTTACACTGAGTCCTAGCTTTCTCTCATCTACCCCATTCGATACGTCGGAAAGTTCTATTACTTCTACCTAAATCTTGAATCCATCCACATCTCTCCATCTCAATTACAAGTAAAACCACTATCATCTGTCTCTCACCTGTACTCTGGCACTCGCCTCCTAATTGGTGCCCTTGTGTCCAATTTTGTCTCATCCCTCACTACCTCCCCTGCCCCAGTGTGACTGAAAATATTTATGCATCAGAACCTATAACTCAGCACTGAAATTCTTCAATAACTTCCCATCATACGTGGTATAAAACCAAAGTTCTTTAGAATGACCCACAAGTGGGGTGATCATGTCTCAGTTTGCCTGGGACACTACTATAATAGAATAAAAAGTCTATATAGCAATATGATAGTAAATGGCATTGGAACACATACACTGACAGACTACAATAGAGACTAAAAGACTAGAACAGAGAACACAGAGACATTTGTGCAAATCAAACTTTAATATATGACACAAAAACATATTAGATCAGTGGGCAAAAAAGAGACTGTTCTATAAATGGAACAGGAAACAAAGTGACAATCCATACAAAAAATAAAATTGGATCCCTGCCTATCACCATATACAAAAATCAACACTAAATGGATTAAAAATGTAAATGTCAAAAGCCAAACTTTAAAACTTAGTAGAAAATTTTAGATCTTAATGTAGGAAAATACTTAAGAATCGATGGTGTTAACTTCCAAAAAATTGATAAATCTGACTTACTAAATTTAAAAGTGTATATTCATCAGAAAATAGCTTAAAGAAGACAAAAACAAGTTATAAACTGGGATATACACAGAGCTGGCAAAGAACTGGCATCAAGAACATATATACTCATGCACAAAAAACAAAACAAATTCTAGAAAATAAAAGAAAATGAATGACCTCTGACTGACAGAGCACAAAAAGAGGAGAGATAAAGAAAAATCCACACCTAGCCAAGATATGGGAAATTTTAATATCGAAACCAAAGAGAAAATTCGAAAGCTTCTAGAAAGAATAGATCACATGCAATAGATAACTGAGATATAAAATGGACAAAACATGATCAGACAGGAGAAAAAACATATGTCAATAAATACATGAAGACAGCACTGGTGAACAATAAACTGCAAATCAAGACCAAATGGCATACCAATTACAGCCATTCCACCGACAAAAAAAATTAAATGCCAAATGTTGAAGAGATGGTCCTGAGATCAACGTTGCTGGTGGAAGTGTAAACTGGTACAGCCACTACGTAAGTCAGCACGGCATTATGCTCTCAAATTAAACATTCACATACCCTATGACTTAGCTATTCAATTCTTACATATATGCAGAAAAAAAACTGCACACACGTATATATAACAAGATGCAAGCGAAAAGAACATCTCGAGTTCTTCATACTAGCAAAAACCTGGAAACAACCAAAATTCTCATCAACAGAAGAATGGGAAAATTAATTTTGGTGGATCCACACAATATCATATAGAAGTTAGAAGGAATAAAGCACAGTGTGAGGCAACAATATAGGTGACTTTTAGCAATACTGTTGTTACCACTTAAGTCCCAAAAAACTTAAAAACCACATTTACACACACACACACACACACACACACACACAAAGACTAGGGGTGGGGGGCTGAAGAAGAGAGAAACGGTGGAAGAAATTTTTTAAACATAGAACGTGAGCTAATGATTAATGCCAGTGAAAAGGGAGATGGGGGGGCGGGGGGAGAGGGACAAAGACACCTAGCTAGTGGCTGTCAAGTCCCTAGATTTTGTTAGAGATGTGGTTTATTACATTATCCAAAACAACTAATTAAAAAACAAAAAGAAAAAGGTTAGTACACAGATTAATAATGAGTGCACATAATGAACTCGGGATTATAACTGGTCCAATATGATAGATACATCTGAGATCTTTTTTAAAAAAGAAAAAAAAAAGGAGTGAAAATTAAGATGCCAACTGGAGATCGGGTAATGGGTTTCAGAGATGCCTTACATCATCGGGCTGACAGTACAGCGGTTCTTTATCCTGCCTACCTACGTGCAAGGGTCTGCCTGAAACTCCCGAGGTCAGTTCGAAAATCCTTTTTTTTCTTTCTTTCTTTCTTTTTTTTTTCCCTGAAAGGCCACAGAATCCCTGCTGAGGCTCCGGGACCGAGGACAGCGCCCTATGGACAGCGCCTTTTAGCCCCGCCCACAGGGGGTGTGTCTAAAGCTGGGAGACAGGGCGGAGCTTCGGTGCGCCCCTGCAGCCCGGCGCTCCAGGAGACTCCGAGGGCGGGCCAAGCTGGTGGGAAGCGGCACACGCTGCAGACACAAGAGGGCGCTCAGGGGCCGCAGCCCCCCACCTTGAAGACCCTCCCCCACGCCTCCTGTTCCCCCACAACGCGCCCCGTTCCGGCCCTGTGCCCAGAGCTCCTGGGGCTTCTCATAACTGCTGGGCCCACCCTGAGAAGGAAACGAGAAGGTCCCTGGCCTCAGGCCGAGAGGGATCCGGCAGCGCTCTGCCGCCGCGGCGCGGGGCACCGGCATCCCTCATCACCAGGCCCATCGGGATCGCGCCCGCCCGTCTTTCTCGCCTTCCTCCTCTGCCCGATCCTCCGCCAGGCGGCCTCTCGAGACCGGCTGCCAACCCGGGCACCCGGGGAGAGGCCACAGCGAACCGCGGCAGCGAACCGCGGCAACCGGCCAGCCTGGCCGTCCTCCCCGGACAAGAGCCGGGCGAGGACTGCGGGGCGGCGGCCAGCACGCCAGGCCCACGGCCAGCTCCCGAGAA